AGACAGATGGATATAAAGGCCTCAAACTGAGGAAAGAAAAATTTATAATAATCACTTAATTGGTCTCCTGGTGGACATATGCAATCCATCATTCTTATAGTACTACCTTGGGTGGGGTATACATACTTCCCACCCACTCCAAGGGAAATGGACAGGATTGATAGTCAAATACTCTGGTGAGCCTGGCCTTCCCAGGGACCTATGAAGTTCAGGACTTAGAGTAAGAAGACCCTCTGGTTGATCCATCCCTGCTAGGGGATAAGAACTGGGGCTCACTAGAGAACTGACCCCTTCTCACAGACCTGAATGATCTATGACTAAGTAAGAATGAAGGTCAAAGTCTGGGTTTCCTTCTTATTATGATTGTATCCAGGGGTATAAGCTGATTGTTAAAATTTTCAGAGTGAGCATTTACACCTGGAAATGCTACAAATCAGGATTTAATAGAGTGTTTTGTTGATTGTCTAGACTTAAAAGAAATGATGGGGAAAAGGTTGATAATGCAGATTGAATTGGAAAATATATTTTGAATACAGTTTATTTTGGAGAGCTGCTTATTAAACATTTACCAGCACACCCCTGCCTATATAATTTATTGTTCCTCAACTCTGGCTCTAGCTTCTGTCAGGAATCCCAAGATTGTTCTACCTCTACCAATCTTCTGCACTACCAATTTATCACATTCCTGCAGCTTCCAGCTTGCCTTTGACTCTTGTCATCCCTGCAATTGAGGTATTCTTCCTCTGTTGGATGTCTGGAACAGACTGTCAAATACCTGGTTCATAAACCTCCTTGCTGCTGGCAACAAATATAATTAGAAAATATTTAACAAAATAAATAAAAATACCATAGAACATAGATAATATTAATATGTGGTTTTTGAAGTCAATAGACTACCTGAAGGAATCTTTATTAAGAAGCCTCAAAACTCTATTTGAGTTTGACACCATTGCTCTGGAGGACCTCCTTCCAGGGAACCTCTGTCTTTATATTGTCACTCCCTTCTCCTCAATTACTTGTCCCCAGCTCACTAGTGTCTGAAGTCTGAGAATACCCTCCTTTTGAAGGTCAAATCGAAGAGTTTATCTCAAGTATAAGAGCCTTCAGTGTAGTCTCAGTGGGGAAAGGTTATGGGTTAAAGGCAAGTTCATAGCTTGTCAAGACAATATCATCAACTCATAACAAAGGCCTTCTTAGTAGAGTAATCAAGATTCAGAACAAAGAGATTCTATTCCTTGTTAAGGAATTGACCAGGAAACTGCATACCTTTCTTGGGACCCAGTTAGAGGTATGCTGTGAAGGAATGAATGATAGATGGATTTCAGTATCTTTGGGGGCTGTATTATTTATTACTTCTCATTTATCAGACCATGTCTTACCAGACAAGTCAGCACCTCCCAGACTATTAGAGCAGAGATGGACAAATTTGTTATAAGCTAGCTATCTTATATTTAAAGCAAATATATCTATACAGGGATTTCCAAAAATCTTAGTGCATTTTTAAGCTATTAACTACTCTAAGACTTTTGGAACACCTTGTATATTTATTTGGTAATTAAGTCAATATCAATCAATTAAATGAATGCTAAGTTATTCAATAATTATATATTAAATTTAATTTTATAGTTCTATAAATCATATATTTAAATTAAAATTTTGCCTAATTTTTCTAGTTTTCAGTCAGGCTGGGGTTCAGACTGCATTCCCCATGGGTTTCTGAAACTCAGAGTAAGCCAAATGGGGTAAGCAAATGGGATAAATTGAGAACTTTTCAGTCCTTCCAGGGACTATGTGCCTGTTATGTTGGGTGATTGAATTATCAGGGCAACAGAGATGATTAGGAGAAGAGAGTAGAAGCCAAGTTACAAGATAGAGACAACAAAACATTCCAAGTTATGCAACTAACCAAGAATGGAATTGTGGAAGGGCAAGACAAGCAGGCTGTTGGGTGATCTGTAAAGAGGACATTCAGTTGGGGGCTCCATGAAGCCCCCTGCACTCCTGAGCACTGGCCTAACCAGATTAAAATGTAACTGGAAATGTGTGACGAAATAAGTAAAAATACAATGAAACATAGATAATATTAATTTGTGGTTTTCTAAGCCAAGGCAGAGATCTGTCTCTATTTGAGATTGACACCACTGGTCTAGATGAAGACCCCTTCTTTATTCTAGAAACTTATAACTCTATAATAATCAGGAGGCCAGATCAGAGATTCTTTTGAGGGCTCTAGCATTTCTTTGATTTGCCACAGTAGAGTTCAGGGAATTGGATGCTCAGCCATTTGTATGTAGTGGAATTTGTGTCTATGATACCACTAGACAAAGGATGATAAGTGTAGTGAGCTGTGGGGTTTGACTGAACAATCATATTTCTTCAATAAGAATGGCTTTTTGAGGGATGGAGATACTCTGGTGCTAACTATATCTGCTGGGATAAAAAATGTTCAGTTCTGTTGGACTTATCAATAGGGTCCATCCCAGAGAAACTATGTCCCTATAATTCTATTTGTAGAGAGTTCTTACCTTTCTAAGGGCAGCTAAATGGAGCAGTAGATAGAACCTCAAGTCAGGAAGTCATCTCTTTGAGTTCAAATCTGGCCTGAGACTAGCTGTGCAAGTCTTTCATTTCTGTTTACCTCAGTTTCCTCATCTATAAAGTGAGCTGGAAAGGGAAGTTGCAAACCAATCCAATATTTTTGTCAAGAAAACCCCAAATGGGTTCTGAAGAGTTGGACATGACTGAAAAAATAACTGAACCTATTTTTCTAATGAAAGGAAGGAAAGGCGTTAGCCCGAGTCAGAATGGAACACAAAGGGAACTCATTTCCTAGAAAGGCTTAATTTCAAAATTCTTGTGGGTCCTGGGACTAGAGCCAAGGTTAGAAAAATGGCATGTTTTTAGTAACTTCCTGAAATAATATAAAAGGAGGGGTTAAAGTGATGTTATGTCCATAATAGATCTTCAGCAAGTAGTTGTTGAATAAATAAAGTACTTAGCTTTTTTCTCTCCCATAAATCTAAATCCATACCAGAATTTAGAGCTGGAAAAGATCTAAGAAATGATGTTGTCCAAACCCATTTTGTAAGTGAGGATACCCATAGAGCCCCGATGATAAAAGGCCTTGCTCACCCCTAATAAGAAGCAGAGCTGAGGTTCAAATAGGTCTTCTGGCTCTATATCCAAATTCTTTCCACTAAGTCCAATTACCTCTGATCTGTACATGTAGACGTACCTTATAGTTTCTAGCACAGTATAGTGGAAAGAGTGCTGAATTTTGAGTCAGAAGATTTGTGTTCAAGTTCTAGCTGTACTATTTATTACCTGTTTGAATTTGGGCAAGTCACTTAGCCTCTTGCGCTCAATTTTCTCCTCTTTAAAATGATGTAGTTGTAGAAATATGTTTTAACTGCACATGTATAACCTATATCAAATTGCTTGCCTTCTCCAGGATCATGGGTGGGGCAGAAGGGGGGAAGTAAGAGAATTTGGAATTCAAAAATTTTTTAAAAATAAATGTTGAAAATTGTTTTTACATGTAATTGGGGAAAAATAAAATATTAAATTTTTAAAAATTAAAAACAATTTAAAAATGATGTAGTTGAACTAGAGAACTTCTACTATCCCCTCCAGCTCTAAATCCATGATTCTGTGATCTTGTTTCAGTAGTTTTGCTTTGCTAATGGGTCTTTTGGCTACTGATAATTTGTTAGTAGTATGCTGTAGTGAAAGCAGCACTAGACATAGGGCCATAAGACTTAGGTTTAAGTCCTGGCTCTCCTCTTAGTAGTTTTGGGATCCTGATGTAATGGTGAGTTTCCACTCCACCTCAATCAGTGATCAAAAGACAAGATGAAGTTTAAAATTTCTAAACATGTTTTACAGTCTGTGATCTCTTTATTAGGTATAAATCTCTTTGGGTCAAGAAAGAAAGCTATATGATTGGCTAAGAGAATCATCCATGCTTATTGGGCCTATGTGGTGAGTCCATTGGTGAGCTCAGACAAACTGTGGAGAACTGTAGTTCTTGGGCTGCAGCCTTGCGAGTGTTTTGGCAAACACTTACACCTAGGAGTAAGCCTAGAGGTAGCATTACCACCCCTATCCCCAATGTTACTGGAGAGACTTGACCAGTAAGAGACAACTGGGAGCAGAGAGAACACCAGAAATAGACAAAGATATGCATAGACACAGGCAAATAGAGAAAGAGAGCCACATAAGGGAGGAGACATCTTCAGGGATGCAACCTCTTTCAACAGAGAAAAATGCCAGTTATGAACTCAAGAAAAGACTTCCAGTAACTACAAACTTACCTTTTGGCCACATATTCCCTCTACAAATGTGCCTCAGTACTATTGTACTCTTAAATTTCAGTTTACTCTTCCTATGGACTTTGTGTATAAGAAATTATAGGCTTTTGAGGATGGTGGAGGTGAGGGAATGTTTTATACCTGTAGTTCTTGCTATACCTTTTCAGTAAATGTCTTTGCTAAATACGGTTGATAATAAATGGGAAGCACACTACTAGGGGCTTGTGAACAGCCTTGCCAATGCGAGTGGGAGGTGGAGGGGTAGGCCCAGAAGAAGTATTATATTAACCATTTCACTTGACCCCTCTGATATTTAATTTCCTTATCTATATAATGGGCTTAATAATTCCTATGTTCTCAGAGCTGTTGGGAATGAAATGCTTTGTAAACTATACAGTGTATGTAAATGTGGGTTATTTTTCCCCCCACTAGAATATTAACTATATGAATGCAAGGACTGGATCATAGCTAAAATTCGTTTCTCTCCTAGTGCCTAGCCTAAGCAACTGCATACAATAGATGTTTTAAACATGTTTATTGAATTGAATACATATGAGACTACATCAGTGTGTATTTCTGAGATTAGAAAGAAGCTCCTAACTATGTGGGGCCAGCTCCATATTGTTCTCTTTAGATAATAGCCAGCATAGCTCAGCTACATGCCCTTTGGTGATGATGATGATACTGGTATGAGGCAGTGCCTGGAGAACTTTTCAAAGAAAAGTCCCTTTACCCAAGTTATATAAACTGTAATGAGCAAAGGATAGACCACTCAGAAACCAGTTTAATAAAACAACAGCCAAACCTTATGAAAAAGTGTACCTACTGTGCCCCAATCAGAACAAACATCTTCAAGATTTCATCATTTCCTTACTAGTAATGGGTTTATGTGAACTACTGGAAAGTGAGGAGGAGAGGAGAGGGAAGCCTACCAAAACTTTTAAGCTTTTATAAAAGGAAAGTAAGGAGAAGATAGGGAAAACCGAGGCCATGCTTTCTAGTTAATTTTATGCAAGAAAACTTCTATTACAGCTTTTGAAAAGGATTAAAAAGTAATTAAATCCCTGGCAAATAAATCCTAAATTATTGGATTAGCAAAATAGAAGGAATGACTTGATTCAACATTTTCGTTTGGTTCTTGGCAGAACAGGACAGCAGAATGTCAAAACAAGTTGGATGCTGTCTGAAAAACCCTATCTCTGTGCTTTTCTGATTTCTGGAGGCTTTTAGAATATGGTCTAAAAATAAAAAATAAGGTCCGGAGTCATACCCAGAAGATGCTCAGATTCCATCTCTTGACTGGAGTCTTTTCTTTGACAAATCTCAGGCTAGGAAATAAAGTAGGGAAGGAAGTTAGAATGGTTAGCATTAGTTACACAATGAAGCCATACCTGCTTTGAACAAAGTCAGTACCTCTTATAAGACTATGATCTAAGAAAACACACAAGAACGATACAAGTTATGAACATCTACTTCACAGTCATTCCAGGTTCCTACTTTCACTTGGTTTAGGTGAACAAAGTAATATAAATAGTATAAATAAATGACATAAATAAATAAAAAAACTCTCCGGGGTTGCTTGTTCAACTCCGATACGTCTAGTGTGTTTGGTCCCCTGGCTACTATCCTCAGGGTTCTCGGGGAAACTCTGAGGGGCTGGTTTTTGAGTAATGGATTACTGTCACTCATGAGCCCCCATTGGTGTACTTCCTACTAACAGTCAGTACCCTCAATTAGCTTTTAGCAAAAGCATTTTCTGAAAAGTCTGGGGCACATCCTTTCACATCGGTACACATGGTTAGTGGAGAAAATGATCACAAACTTAAAAGTACACAGGTGGTGAGGTATACCTCTAAAAAAATATGTGGCAAAGGGTGACTGGGCAACAACAAATTTACTTTTACATGTAGTTAGGATATAGAATTACATATAGTTAGGATGCTGTGATTTAACCTTATCAATTAGTCACGAAATATTTCCTGTGTGGTGTCATTTGCCTTTCATCCAGTGGCCAAATCCTACACAATTTAAGACTTATTTACTATAGTTTATGCTTTAATTGATTCAATTGTGGTATCTGGGCCTTCTGCGATTTTATGAGCAAATTTAGAGACATCTCCACTCCAAATGTTCAAATGAACTCTTTGTGTCTGACTTGTGATGGAGCCTTCTGAGCTCGTATTGGTCTGATCAGCCACAATCAGACACACTGTACCTTGGCCCCAACAGAGTGATGTCACTGTGATCCTCTGAGAAGGAAGGACAACAACCAACCAATGAACCAGCCAATTGGTGTGGGGGTAGAACCCCACCATTACACGTACAGCTGCAACCCAGGCCATTCTCTCTATCGAGGTAATAGAACAGTTCCAGAAGGCCCACAAATATATCTCTCAAAAACACACTAACCTTGAGTAACTGGATCCTTTTCAGTCATTTTTCAGTCATATCTGACTCTTCATGTCCCCATTTGGGGTTTTCTTGGCAAAGATACTGGAGTGGTTTGCCATTTCCTTCTCCAGCTGATTTTACAGATGAGGAAACTGGGGCAAACAGGGTTAAGTGACTTGCCCAGGGTAACAGAGTTAAGTTACTAAGTGTCTGAAACCTGATTTGAACTCAGGAATATGAGTCTTCCTGACTTCAGGCTGCCCTAACTGGGTTCTAGGTACCTTTGAATGCATGAATCATGAGTAGATCAGATAAAGCTTAAACATCAACTGGCAAAATTCCACTGCATGTCTGGATATTCTAACTGCAAATCCTACATCTTTCTCTGAGTGAAGGAGCCTGAGGTAATTAGCTTGAAAAAATATTTGGACTTTAAGAGCCAGGCCTTTCAGACAGATTCTCCAGATACACACAGTGAAATGAACACATATGATGATGAATAGGGCCACTTTACTATTAAGCCTTTAATTTTCCTGTTTCTCAGGGGCAATTTATAAATAGCTGAAGGTAAATAAACTCTGTAGTTTTATGTAGATCAAATATGTAGACCTCTTTGAACTCTGGGTTCCCAGTTAGCTACCTCATATTCTAAGGTATAGATCTGAAACCATAGCTCATGTGCTTCTAAAAGTACGTTTTACTTTTTTTATTAATCATGTGATGCACAGTTGATACACAACAGGCATTTTAATTAAGTAGCAATGTAAATCAAGTAGTTTTTAGCATTCTGCCCACAAAGCTTGAATTTACTCTTTTTTTTCATTATTTTAGGCAATTGGGGTTAAGTGACTTGCCCAGGGTCACACAGCTAGTAAGTGTCAAGTGTTTGGTCTGAGGCTGGATTTGAACTCAGGTCCTCCTGACTTCAGGGCTGGTGCTCTATCCATTGCGCCACTTAACTGCCCCCTTCAATTTACTCTTCCACAAATACGTACTATATATGTAAAATATATATTCAAAGGTAAGAATGGATCTTTATAGAAGTTTGTGTGGGTCATCCACACATTGGGAATATTTGTAGCCAGGAGATTTTTGTTTTTGAAGGGATACACATACAGGAAACACATACAGGGAACCAGGGCATATGAACAGAGAAGTAATTCATGTCTCTAATAAAATGAAGCTGCTGATATCTTTTGTTACTATAATTATTGTTCTCTCTGCCAGACCTGCTAGATGTGGCTCTCTGACTCTCCCCATTTTCAGTATCCCCTAATACCCTGTACAATATCCACTAAAGATTCTGTAGTTACCACCTTTTTACATGATCTCCTAGTCACCTCCCCCATCCACTGGTGGTATAGTGGCTAATAAGCCTCTTTGGGTCTGTCCTATCATCCTGTTGCTTCAGCTTCCTTCTCTGCATCAGCCATGGTTTTCAGCTGAGGTGCTTTCTTCAGAGTCACCTAAAACTCATCTCCATCTCCATCCCCATCCCCATCCCCATCCCCATCCCCATCCCCATCCCCATCCCCTCTCCCTCTCCATGTGATGGAGGTGTCCTAGCATAAAGAACTAGATAGCACTCCTCAGTCAGCATTTTAGCTGATATCTGTTAATGCTTTCTGCAGTTTTCTCAGAAATTGGATACTTTATAAAACATCCATCTTTTCTGTCATGACTATCAAGTTTTATTTTCAAGTCAGATTACTCTGAGGATATGATTTTATGCTGTGGTCAGATTTTACTTTTGACCTTTTATGATTATTATGTTAACTACTTCTCTTTTTCTAAATGTCTCTATGTTCTCAACCCCTGTATATCCTCTGTCTAACTGCCTTCCCTTGGCTCTCTCAGTTCAACTGTCGCTTAACTTGTGGTCAGAAACCCATTTTTTGATTTATCATCCCTCCTGGGTGAGATGAATCTCTCTAACGCTCCATTCCTCAAACAGAAAAGGAATTGTGAGAAACTGGTAAGGAAAGTATTTTAATCTCACCAGAAGACCCTCTTACTATGCAAAACAACGACTGCCAATAGAATTCTAAAAGGCAATTTAATGCAAATAGCAAATAGACTATTTAAGGAAAATAAACTGTATAGGCTTGCGTATTAGACCAAATATGTAGAGCTCTCTGAACTCTGGGCCCCTTTAGAAATATGAAAGACACTGTGACTTACCTGTCATTTGCTCCAGCAACATGAAACTTAATTACTGTCTTTCCCTGGCCTCTCTAAACACATAAAGTATGCCCCAAACCTTGGTCAAGATTCATTTCCATCCTTCTCTAAGAGTGTAGAGATTGCATCTACCTTGGTTTGATATACTTGTTTGCCAAAGCAACTAGAACGCTGGACTGTCCAGTTGTACAACATTCCTCTAATCCAGGGCTGGGGCCCTCTAGATCCTCAATCCAGCCCTTGTTTGGATTTGGTCAAAGGGCTGCACTTGAGGACCTTGAGGGCCACATGTGGCTTCAAGGCTGCAGGTTCCCCACCCCTGCAAAAACCTCTGCCCAGCTCTACCACATAGAACTTTCAGTTGATTTAAGAAAAGTCGTAAGCAGGGTATTTTGAATCTTCTACACTCCCCTTCCCCCATTACAAGTACATGTAATGGATGAAGGGGTATTAGGGAAAGGCTCTTGTCTCAAAGATTTTTGGCAAGTTACATAATAAATATCCAAACTTCTACCTCTCTGGTTTGATTTTCATCAGTTTCCTGTGATCTAGGCTGATCTACAGGACACTAACCTCTCTGACCAAAAAAAACAGCACATAAATAAGATTAGGAGTTCTCTTAGTCAGTTTCTGCAATTAAAACAATACCTATGTTGCGACAAAAAAAACTGCCAAAGGAAAAAAAAATTACTGCTGTACTCTTTGTTATAGACATAAGCCTTCTAGAAACAACATTTATCAATTCATCATTATTCTAAATTCAGGTGTTATTCTGCTTGAGAAATGTCCAAACTGCCAGAATCCCTTCATGGGCATGTTTCTTCACAGGTCATTTTAAAGTCCCAATTTATTGGATTCTTGGACAAGAAATAATTTACAATGTAGCAGAACATAGTTTAATATTTTGCTTCATCAATCCAGAACAGCAGTTACATAATGTTAGAGAATCATTTTCTTAAAACCTCTCATCCTTCTATGACCACTCTCTTCAAGGGCTCTCCCTAGTGAAAAGATCATAAATGACCTGAATTAACCAGAAATGTTTTCTTTCTCTTGAGGTGATCATTTTCCTAATCTTCCAAGGCATTAGGAAAAAGCTACTACTGTTAAGGACCTTGTCTTTTATCTAGTCACCACCCTAATTACTTCAAGGGAGGATACTTTTTCCTGGGCTGATCAGAGAGTCATTTTTCGTAATTGGTAGCAAAAAACCCCCCTGAAGATTAGTCAAAGGCTTCAGACTAGGATAGTTTAAAAACACTTTTTCTTAATTTTTCTAAAAATGGGAGCTTAGTCAAATACTTAACAGTCTGCTTCTCTTCAGATAGTTAGCTGGTACCACCTTCACGGAATCCTAGAATTGAAAGTCTTTAGAGGTCATCCAAGTCAAACTCTACCCCTACCCAATGGGTGAAAACTCTTTATGATTTCTAAAAATGGTCCTCTGTCCCTCTTTTAAAAAACATTCCAGTGAAAAAGAATTTCTGACCTTTCAAAGAGTCCACTTCATTTTTATATAGCTCTCACTGTTATGAAAATATTTCTTATACTGAGCCAAAAGCTATATTTCTGTAACTTTCACCTATTGTCCCCACTCCCGCATCAAGCAGGATAAGTCTGACCAATTTTGAAATATTTGAAGACATCTATTATGTGCTTCCCTAAAAGTCTTCTTTTCTCAAGGGCTAAACGTCCCTCATTCCTTCATCTGATTCTCATCATTTGATTCTTATTTGATTCTCACCAAGTCTCCTCATTGTTCTTGTCTTACCAATATGCTAGTGTCTCTCCTAAATGTGTCTCTCCTAAAATGTGATGCCAATACAACATCTCTTCAGATGAGTATGGGAGGTGATATTACACAAAGAACTGGGTACAATAATTCGATGTAGTCTAACTAGCCAGAAGACAGCAGGACCATATTTATTTACCTTTTTCACCCTGCTTTGTTTTCATGACTCCAATGAATCTGAGGCAAAGTGATTAGTCTTCTCTTTTGCTACTATCAAAGAGAAAGAGATTGAAGGCAGCCTTAGAGGGGAAAAAATGAGAACATTTCCAAAATAGAATTCAGAATCTCCCTCTCTGCCACCATTTTTCTCTTTCAAACTTTCCCTCTTGAAAGATTTTCTATCTTCCTAATCATCTGAGTTAATAACCTCAAAATTTTCCATTCACCAAATTGCTAAATCCTGTCAATGATACCCCCATTACCTCCATTGGATCTGTCTCTTTCTTTCTCTACTAACATGGCTGTCTCTCTAGTTCAGGCCATTATCAGCTCTTGCCTGGACTATCATAATAACCTCCTAATTGGGCTCCTTGCTTCCTGTTTCCTTTCCATCCTCTACACAGCTGCCAAAATAATCTTCCTCGAACATAGGACTGACCATGTCACTCTCCCACTTAAAAACTTTCAATAGCTCCAATTTTTTCCAAATCTTCAGCTTTAGTTTGCATGGTATGTTAAACTTGGAATCAGGAAGACCATAGATACACACCATCTATGGGACCTTGAGCAAGTCATTTAACCTACCTCAATTTCCTCATCTGTAATAATAGCATCTATTTTTCTCAGGGTTGTTGTGTGGATAAAATGAGATCATATTACATATATATATATATTATATATATATATTATATATATATATATATTTAAAGCACTTTGCAAACCTTAAAGTATTACATGAATATTAGCTATTGTTATTGATTATAAGATTCTCCAAAAATTGGCTCCAGTTTATCTTTCTAAGCCTTATTTCAAGTTAGTCCTTTTCACTTACTTTATGTTTCAGACAAATTGGACTAATAAGCTCTCCATATTAGATATTATATTTCTCTACTTTTGTGCATTTGCACAAAGTGTGCCTTTTCCCTTCTTCCTCTTATAAGCCCTTCAAAAGGCTTCAAGGCTTAGCTCAGGTGCCGCTTCCTCCATGAAACCATTCCAGCAGCTCCAGTGATCTATCTGCTAACTACACTCAAATTATCTTTTGCTTATCTGCTGTAATCCTCCCCACCCCCAGTAGAATGTAAGCTCTTTGAGGTCAGGTACCATTTCATTTTTGTCTTTGTAGGTCCAGCACCTAGCATAGCTTATATTAAGTATTTAACAAATTTTTGTTGAATTTGTTAAATTGAGAATGATTGCAGCCTCAGAGCCTCAGATCCCAATTTGAGGGTGACAGAATACTTGATTCTGGGAACTCGGTGCCAGCTAAAGTTATCCACAAGAGGGAGCTATGGACCTTTGTCATTCTCATTGAGCTACTGCTAATGGCAGAAATAGAGGAAATAATTTTTTTTCTCTTCTAGGAGGGGGACGATCACTGAGGCTGAACTAGATCACTAATGACTCATTATACGGAAAGAAAGATTGGTAGTGATGATGACGGTTAAGGGAAAAGTCTTTCTTGCTGGCTGAGTTGGAACCTGGGATGGAAGGAGGGAATTGGCTCTTTTGTTCCTTCTACAGGGAAAATGCTGGGGGAGAGGTGTGTGTGTGGGTGCAGTTTGGAAAAGAGAAGGAAGCTGAGGAATAAACAGATGCGGTGTGTTGTGTGTGTGTGTGTGTGTGTGTGTGTGCGCGCGCGTGTGTGATATGGAGAAGGAAGGATTGAAGGAAGAAGGGAAAAGAGCATAATAATTATTGGGACTTTGAACAGACTGTGTTCTGGCTTCTGCCTGGGGCTAGCACAACCTTAGTTGTGCTAAGGGGTTTTTCTCTAATGTGAGGAGCCCAGTAAGAAATGAGAGAATCTGAAAGGAATCGAGATGCAGATATTCTTTTCTTCTACCTTTTTTTTTTTGAGGGGGGAAGTGAAAAGAGTGGCAGCTTTTTTGGTTGAAATGGAAGCTTATCTCTGGTCTTGTATCTACATGATTCCAGGCAGCAAGTAGCTGAATACTAAACACCCTTTATATTTGGAAGACTAAAAACAGGATTAAGTAGGTGTGTGTATGTGTGTGTTGGGGACGGAAAGAGAGAAATGTGTGCACAGGTGACTGTGGAGCTTTCTGATTTTTCACAGAAAAATAGACAAATTGTCAGTGTATGACTTGGCTTCTATGAGCTGAGCTTCATGGATTCTGTTCCCTTCCCTTTTCCCCAGAGTGCTTGAGGCCAGCTATAAGAAGATACTATAACAGATTGAAAATTTCAGGGGAGCAGGGGGCAAAGGGGACCCAAACTGATATCCTTCTTAGAGTACCTTTAATCATATATATTGTGAGGGAATTGGAGTAGGAAATCAGCAAATTTTCCAACTGACATTCACTTAGAATTTTTTTTTTCATGTTTAATTCCCCTATGTGGGCCTGAATCTACCTTTAATGGTTGAAGAATAGAAGTGCCCAAGAAGATATTTCTTTTTTGAGTAAATACGCAGGACAGGGGCTCAGCTGGGCCAAATCCTCAGGAAAAATCTTCCCAGTAGCACAATGAAATCCTGCAAGCCCTGAGCAAGTGAGCAGAAGTGGAGACAAATGTTACTATGGTGACCAGCTGCCTGTAGTCTCATCATTCCTCCCTGGCCAGCCTGTGCAGCTATTGTTTTTCCGTATAGCTGTATCTTGTGACTCTTTGACCTTGAAAGCAGATCTGAGCAGTATATTCTATGTCTATGGCCCTAATGGATGTGTCACCCTACTGGGGAGGTGGGGTGGGGTGCCAAGGACAAAAGTAAATGACTATAGTCATCATTTGTTAATGCTGCTGTTTTGTGCAATTAAAAATAAGATTTCTTTAGGTTGATATTCAAGGCCCTTAGTGCTCAGGTCCCACCTACCTGTCTGTCTTTAATCATAGTGTAATCCCAAACTGAAGGCGCTGGGTTTTTATAAACAATGTTCAATCTTGGGGGCTGCTCACAAATCCCTCTTTGGCTTGTGACCTAACCTAGATTTTCTCTTGTGAATATCAGAATTTAGATTATGAATAGATCTCCATGAAAAGAGGAAAATGACCCTCAATCTCTATGTAAGTATTCAGGCTCACAGTATGTTAAACACAGGAAAAGCTTTATTTAACTGGACAAAGATTATAAAACAGAACCCAAAACATAGCTGAACAATCAGAACAATCAAAACAATTCTCTCTCTCTTATCTCTCTCTCTGTCTCTCTACCCCCCACCCCCACCCCGACCCAATTCTTCTTGGACCTATATAGTCTTTCAAACTTATAGTACCATCACAGGGTTGAGTCCCCCACACTCACCTACAACTGGGTGGTTAGACTTAACTCAAGCAACACACTGTGGTGAACTCCACCTTCCTCAGTGACCTCTATCCAAACTTATAATATTGCCCCTGGGTTGAGGCTCCTTTACCAGGGGAAAGAACTAGGAGTGGTGAGAGGATTGCCCTCCTGGCCCTGGATCTACAGAGTTCACATGGCTTATAGGAGGGTGAGGTCTGGGTTTGCTCTTCCATATCGAAACTCTGGCTCCTCTCTTGGTCCTGGAACTCCTCCTGGAAGTTCTCTGTAGCTCCAACATTACCACTTCACTGCTGTTGGCTCATGTTCCAGCAATCCCAGCTTGGCCTAGGAACTCTTCATCTGCCTCTTTCTGTTACCAACTCTTGGGCAATGTCCTTCTAGCTCCTTTAGCATTCCCTAAAAACTAGGTTGTGCAATGGATAGAGTGCTGGGCCTGGAGTCAGGAAGACTCCTCTTTATAAGTTCAAATCTGGCTATAGGCACTTACAAGCTATGTGACCCTGGGCAAGTCACTTAACCCTGTTTGTCTCAGTTTCCTCATCTGTAAGATGAATTGGAGAAGAAAATGGCAAACTATTCCAGTATCTTTGCCAAGAAAACTCCAAATGGAGTCATGAAGAATCAGACATGACTCAACAACAAGGAGGGTCACAAGGTTATTCAAGCTTCTTTTCAGGAAACTAGTCTGTATGGGCCTGGTTGGCTTCTTTCTAGTCCCTTTAGCTCTGCTTCTCTGCATTTGTCTTGCTTTTCAATTCTTTTAAAGGCCAAATCCAAGGTTGTAGCTCAGGTATTCCATCTAGCCTGGCCTTAATTGAGCATCTTCAAATGTGGTGTTAAAGGAGCAATAGGCACTGAGAACAAGATAAGGCCTTACGTTGTTAAAGAGATATATATGCCTTAACAAAGGCCTTGTCCATGTTAATCTTATTAACAAGGAGTTAACCTTAACAAGAAATTAACCTTGTCCAAGGAATGTCAAAGAAGATCTTACCAATCTCCAAAATAGGATCATAGCATTCAGAGCTGGGAGGAACTTACTCAAACATTATATAAACCACGATACAGCAAAACTAGTCTTATTCTCTGTCTCCAAACAGGTTTTTTACTTTCCCACTTCTATCTCTTTGTTATACTTTATGCCTTCCCCCCACCTCCCAGCTCCATGAACAATTCTTATCCTTCAAGACCCACCTAAAATCTCATCTTCTCCCTGAAGCTTTCTAAGCCATTTTATCCTGTAATGTTGTCTTCCCATTTTGAAGAGATCTCCTAATATTTCTCATCTGTAAGTATTAGGGATGTGGAGACCCCAGCAAGAGGTCTTTAACACACAGACATCTCCTCTATGGAAACTTCCATAACCCACCCTTAGAATTAGAGAATGTCAACTGGTTTTTTGGAGATAAGCCTTTTAGGTAGATACTATATAATCTTTACTTTCATATCACTCACCTTCTTGTGAGAGAGAGAGTGGGCACATATTACAGAAATTTACCAAGGAGGTACATCGTTGAGGAAAAACCCATTTCTTTGGATACCTCATAATTCTGGAACTTTATTGTCTTCCTTCTGTCTCAGTAACATTCCACCTAAATTCTTGATGAGTAAAATTTCTGCATTGAACAGATACTTCTACTACAAAGCTTGAGTTAATGTACTCTGTGTTTGACTGACTTATTCCTTAGTATCAATGATCATATCTAACACTTTCAACTTCTAGCTTAGTGGATGCATTTCTGAAATCTATCCTTTTATTTCTATCTGTCTGTCTCTTATCTTTCTGTATTTAGACTCTAGATCCTTTTGGTGAACATCCTCATCTTAGCTTATGGTTAGTAAACAAATTCTCGTCTTCTGTCTATAATCAAGTTAATTACATTTAGCCTATATCATAGAACAGTTTTGGTATCCATACATCTTCTGTATGCCAGAGATTTCCATATTCAAAATAAGCTAAAACTATCTCAGAATTATGAGTCAGAGAAACTGTTTCTTAGAATTTGGAGCAGGTAACTCAGCAACTAAATTGCTCCATGTGAGAAGGCAGTACCTTAAAGGGAAAGTATGTCGTACTTATTATATATAAAACATAGTCCCTGCCTTCAAGGAGCTTATACTCTAGTAGAGGTGTATGAAAAGGACTCTACTTCCCCTTCTGTCCCTCTCCCTTAACATGGGATAGGTTAGTTTTTCCCCTGAAAGCAACAGAGCTATCTCTGGGACCTGACTGATCAAGGCTCAAGCTGCACTTACCTTGACAAGGCTTCCTGGTAGCCACTGGCCAGTGACTTCTTGATCATCTAAGGGCTTGTAAAAGAGCTATCTTCATGGGGCAGGGTCCCTGCAAATTTAGTGGATTGGATATATCCTAAGACTTTGAGAATCACTACTCCCAGCCTTGCTAATCAGAAAAATTTCCATATGGAAATGAAACAGGGTATAAATCTACATGAACTAAATGCTATGGTATCGTTGTTGAATATAATTTCTGTGTTATAATTCTGTAAACCTCCTTTGGTTAACTGTTAAGTGACCTATGAATGTCTCATTTTGTTCCACCATTGAACCTGAACAAGCAGAGTAGGTATTGGCCTGAGTCAGGCCTGCTCAGAATGGTACCATAAGAGACATACAAATGAAGTACTGTGGGGTTTCAGAGGGGTGACTGATTCTAAAGAAGGGGGAAAAGGGAAGAGGATCCTTTAACCCACTCCCCTCCTCTCAATGTCCTCCTGGTTCTTGTCTATTCAAATTCTTTAGGCCCAGGTTCACTATGGGACAATTCTCTATAAGATAAGTGACTTCATAGTTGAAAGGGTCAGATACCAGTGTACAACTAACCCCATTATTTTATGGATGAAGAAACTGTAAAATGAGATCTAGAGAGAATGGTTTTGAAAAAGTTTTCATATAATTAATAGAGCCGGCATTGAATCCAGGTCTTCTGGAGAGGTGGTCTGGTGTTGACCCTAGAGATGGGCTAGATGAATGAATGAAAGAACAAATTGATGAATGAATGAAAAGGATTTAATAGGTGATAACTAGGTCACAGTGCTAAGTACAAGGCTAGACACTGGGTATACAAAAGAAAATTGAGATGTTTCTGTCCTTAGGAATCTTATACTTTAATAGGTAAGTCGTAGCTTGGGTAGAAAGTTTTGATTGTCATATCCTTTCCAGAAGCAATGGTAGAAAATGGGAATGGGGATTGGTAGAAATACCACACACTAATAGGCAAGTGAAAATAAATTTAAAGTACACAGGTGGGTACATACACATAGAGAACATTTATGGCAAAGGGGTAACCAACAGCTATTTCCTGGAAGTCCTTTTTTCTCTTTGTAGAATTCTCACAAAGTTTCCCTTAGGTTAGCTCGTTGTTGGGCTTTGAAGGTCAGTACTTTAGTATTGTCAAGCTGCCATTCCTCAACATCCCATGAGAGTCATGATCCCTGAAGTTGCCTTTTCTCTAGGGGCTAAATATATTATTTCTTGCTAATCCAGTCTTTCTGTTCCCAGTTGGATGCACTGTCTGCTGCCAGTTTAACTTTTTAGATGACATGGTGACTGGGGGTTGGGGTGAGGGGATGTCAGGAAAAGCCCTCCCTTCCTTGGGGCTTACAAATGTCTTTTAAGAACTCTGAGCAATTCAATTACAAAGAAAAATTCCAGGGGATCAGTGATGAAGCATGCTACCCACCTCCTGACAGAGAGGAATGGACTCATTATGCAGACTGAGGCATATTTTTGGATGTGATCAATGCAGAAATTTGTTTTGCTTGACTATGTATTTTTGTTACAAGGATTTTCTTTTTCTTTCCTTTTTCCCAATGAGATAGGAGGTGGAAAGAAAATAGATTTTTGTTCATTGAAAAAATATGAAAATAAAACAAAAAAATATATTTTGCCTCCCCAATTAAGAGACTAAGTGACTACACCTTATGGGTAGGGACCATGCCATGTACTGTTCCTATTCTCTAGCAGCAAGTAGCACAATCCTTGTACGAAGTAGTAGCTCTTAAACATCACATTTGTCTCTCATTCCATCCCTATTCCCTCTACTACAACAGAACACTGTAATAAAGGAAAATAACTCTTGTTGACCCACAAGGATTCAAAACAGAAAAAGGAGGCAATGGAGTTGCTGATAAACTGCAGTGTGGTTTGTTTAGGAAACCTCTGGACGCTCTTGAAAACAGAATGTCTTCAGCATAAGAAAAAGAACTTGTGTCAATTGTCAAATGGGGAACGATGCTTGGCAAAGAGTTGTGTGATCAAGGATATAAAAATTATGGCAATTTTAGGGGGAATTTTGTAGTCTTACAGGCAAGCTGCATGCATGTGTTTACCCTATACATGCATGCATTCTAGGTGGTGCAGTAGATAGAATTCAGGACCTGGAGTTAGGAAGACTCTTCTTGAGTTCAAATCTAGCCTCACACACTTACTAGTTGTGTGACCCTGGGCAAGTGACTTAACTGTTTCCTTATCTGTCAAATGAGCTGGAGATGGAAATGGTAAACCACTGCAGTATCTTTGTCAAGAAAACCCCAAATGGGATCATGAAGAGTCGAACACAACTGAAAAATTATTCTGGCTACTGCACGTGATAATCAATAAACTTTTCCCTAGCTTGAGATAGTTGCTGCCTCCTGATGTTCACTAGCAAATGCTTCTTACCTTTTTCCCCTCCCCACACAAAGTCTTCCCTAGTATGCCCTGGCCATAAGGATTAGGGTAGGGCTTATATCTCACATCAAGTTTGGCTCCTTTTTGTTGCTACATTCAAAAGCTGGGGAGTTTGGGGGCTGTTGAGCAGGAAGTCTACAAACTGGTTTGGACAATTTGGAGGATTAAAGAAAGAGAGGAATAACAGAGGCCCAACTTAGAGTAACTAACTTTTCCTTACTTAGGCACAGAGTAGAGAGATGACAACTTGTTTTAAGGAGGCATGATGCCTTTGAGAGCATGGACTGTTGTGGGAGTTGCTTTTTTAAATGTAACTCCTCCTCACAAATGGAAAGGATGGTGAGGAAGAAAGAGTACCAGTGAATCCCAATGCCCATTGTAGGTATAGGATGTTAGAATTTAGAGCTACGCTCCTTTTATAGATGAGGAAACAGGCCCAGAGAATAAAGTGACTTGCATACTCAAGGCTTTAAGTCCAAATCCAACCCTCTTCCCAGGAAGTTATACAGATTACAAGAAAATGATGGGTTCCTTTCTTCCCTAGCACCTTTGCAGGTAGCTTGTTTTGTCTTATGATGGCTCCCTTTTCTCTCTTTCTCCAGCCTCTTCCCACATGTATAGGACCATGCTGATGCTATGCCACAAGAGCTGCTGAGTTCTACTCTAGGCCTAGCTGCCCCATCCATTTCAGGAAGGGAGTTTAATTTTCAAAGAGGTCTTCGAGGAGAGCTGTGGGTAGAATCAGCTGCCCAGAGACTCAGTGGGCCTGGAAAAGGAATATTTCACCCTCTGAAGAGGGAAGGAAAGAGGATGGTCTGGCCCACCAGTGCCACCCATTTCAGGCGTTGGGAGGGAACCTTAGGCTCTGAGGCTCCTGGCTGTCTGCTAACTTTTCTTCAGCATTGAATTTCCCTTTTCAATAAAGAAACACTCGAAACAACGAGGCCTTGGTGGACAGAAGCTCATCTTTCCTCCTGTTGTCACAGCCTCATTTGCTGCTGCTAAGTCAGCCCCTGCAGGCTTTTGTTCAATTAAGATATCTTGTGTCTGATGCATTTGCTCACAATGGGGTGCAAGGATTTTGTAATACTAGATACATGTGCTTCCTTCTTGTCTCTGGTTGTTTCTTAACCTCAGTTTTGAATAAGGATAACAATAGACCAGGAACCATTGGGAGAGAAAAGATAAGGCACTAAGGCAGGGAGCTCTTATACTGTGTTAATTCAACAAATACTTATTATGCACCTACTATGTGTAAGAGCCCAATGTTAGAAGCTTGTTGGGGTGGGGGGTAGGTTATGTATAGAGATACAGAGTTGAACAGCTGCCCCAGTCCCCAAAGAATTCACAGTTATAGCAGAGAACAGACAGTTATGCAAATAAGCATAGCGCATAATGGAATTTGAGAAGTGCTTAAGAAAGAGGAACGTGATTGGGGATATCAAAGGAGACTTCATGGAGAAGGAGGCATTGGATCTGAGTCTTATGGGATTTCAACAAGCAGAAATGCAAGTAAGAGCATTTCAGGTGCAGGGAACTGGAGCAAAGGTTAAAAGATAAAAAAAAAACACGGGCAAAGGGTTCAGTATGAAATGGATGACAGAGTTTTTGGAAAATAGTATTATGAGACAAAGAGAACTTTTGTTTTTAAACCTTCTACAAAGAAATATTTACATCAAAGGTATAAGCACAAATATAATAATTTATTCCTCAATATTGGCTGATTTTTGAAAGGAAACTTATTTCTTATAGATAACTATTGAGCCAATATGGCTGATTAACATGTTCACTAGTATAAAGTAATCTAGTGCAGTAACAACTGAC